CTCTAATAAGATTGAAAACACAAAAGAAATGGGAAGCTTACTTGCCATAACTGAGTTGTCAAAACTAAGTCAAGAAAATACAAAAAGTCTAAATAACCCAATGTCAGACAATGAAGTTGAAAATGTAGTTAAAAATTTACCAAAAAAGAAAAACCAGTGCCCTGACAGATTCACAGTTGAATTCTACAAGAAACTGAACACAAAATAGTACTTCCATAATAATTCCTGGAAACAAATATTACCCTAATCCTAAAACCAGAAAACCAAACCAAAAAAGAAAACTATAGGTCAATCTCCCTAATGAACATAGATGAAAATTCCTTAAAAAGATATTGGCAAATAGAAAACAGCAAATCATAAAGAAGATTATATACCATGACCAACTAGGATTCACCACAGGGATGATTCACCATATGCAAATCAATAAATGCAATACATCATAGTAACAGAACCAAAGATAAAAACACATGATCTTCTCAATACCTTCAGAAAAAAAATATTTGATAAAGTCCAACAACTTCATAATAAAAACCCTACAGAAAATTGGAATAGATGGTCTTTACCTCAATCTTATAAAAGCAATTTATGATAAACCAATAGGCAACATCATACTGAATGGTCAAGATCAAAAGCTTTCGTTCTAAAATCAATAACAAGAGAAAGATGTCCATTATCACTCTATTAAGTATAGTTCTAGAGCAACTAGACAGGAGTAAAATAAAAGCAATAAAGATAGGAAAAAAGTTAAATTAACATTATTTGCAGATGACATGACACTCTCTATATAAGATTCTAAAAAACTCCACCAAAAAAAACTTGTAGAAATAATATCCAAATTCAGCAGCATAGCAAGATACAAAGTCAACATTCAAAAATCAAGAACATTCCTGTACATAAACAACAATATCACAAAGAGAGAAAGTAGGGATAGATGCACACCCACAATAATATCTAATAAAATACTTAAGAATCAATCTAACAAAGGATATAAAAGATCTGTAAAGTGAAAATTACAGTACCCTATAAAAGGAGATTAAAGTTATCCAAAAATGAAGATACCCCTTGCTTTTTTATAGGAAAAATCAACATAGTGCAAATGGCCACACTCCCAAAACTGCAATGTAGACTTAATGCAATTACAATAAAAATACCATTAGTACATCTCACATACCTACAAAAAATACTGCTAAAACTCATTTGGAATCAGAAGAGACTTAGAATAGCAAAAGCAATTTGGGGCAACAGAGGCAAGTCAGGGGACATCCCAATCCCAGACCTAAAATTATACTACAAAGATGCTGTGATAAAATTAGCATGGTATTGGTACAAAAAACAGGCCTGGGGGGGAACTACCTGCTCGCCCCCCCCCCCGTCCCTCTCTTGGACAGGGGCTTTCTTTCTCTCAATAAATATATTCTGCTTATTAAAAAAAAAACAGGCCTGAGGACCAATGGAATGGACTAGAAGATACAGGCACCACCCCAAACACACTCAGTCACCTTATCTTATTGTACCTTGGCAGAGGAGCCAAACATATTCACTAGAAGAAAGATAGCCTCTCTGATAAATGGTACTGGAACACTGGCTTCCCACGTGCCAAAGACTAAAACTAGATCCATGTCTATCATCATGCCCTAAACTAAAGTCAAAATAGATTGGAGATCTAAATATTAAAATAGAAACACTAAATTTACTGGAAGAGAAAATAGGTAGAAATCTCCAAGACATAGATGTAGGCAGAGTCTTCATAAACAAAACCCACCCTTCAAAGGAAATACTACAATGGACTGACAAATGGGATCTTACCTTATTAAAAAGCTTTTGCACAACAAAAGAAATCACCACCAAAATGAAAAGACAACCCAGGGGTTGGGGAGATAGCTCACTAGAATAAGTGCTTGCCTGGCAAGCTCAAGGACCTGAGTTCAATCCCCAGTTCTGCCAAAAAAGAGACAACCACAAAGTAGGAAAAAAGTTACAGCCAGTTGTTCCTCAGACAAAGGACTTATAGCTAGAACATATAAAGAATTGAAAAAAAAAGATCCTTCCAAATTCAATGACCCAATCCAAAAATGGACATCTGAGATGAATACACACTTCTCAGAGGAAAGAAGACAAGTGGCAAATAAATACATGCAAAAATGTTCAACATCACTGGTCACTCATGAAATGCAAACTAAACAACACTGAGATTCTGTTTCATCCCAGAAAGAAAAAATTAATTGATAGCAAATATTGTCAGGGATATGGGGGTACAGGAAGCCTTCTCCACTGTGGGAATATAGACTGGTTCAACCACCATTGAATCAGGGTGGAAATTGCTTTAAAAACCAGAATTAGAAGTCCTATTTGACCCAGTCATTCCCTTTTTAGATATCTTTCCAGAAAAATTAAAAACATCATACCACAGGGATGTATGTACACCCATGTTTATAGCAGCATATATATAGCAGCACACGTAGCTATAATAGCTAAATATTGGAAACAACCCAAATGTTCATCAACCAAGGACTGGATTTAAAAGATGTGGGTTTTTTATATAACGGAGTACTACTCACCCACAAAGAAGGATAAAATGGAGCATTTTGCAGGTAAATGGATGCAACTAGAGGCCATATTATCAGTGAAATAAATCAGACCCATAAGTGTAAATGTCATATTGTCTCACTGCGTAAGAAACTGATCGTCCAAAATGTACAATAGATATAGTGCACTGGGAAGAAACTGTGTGAAAGGGAAGACAATCTGTGATTGGGGAAAAAAGAAATAAAGGAAAAGAAAAACAAAATTATACTTTTACACACAAGATAATTATACAACTAGTTTCTCTTAGTTCATCCGAAAGAAGGGTTTGTGCTGGCATTATTTCGAGAAGATGTCATGCCTACATCTTTATTCAGAGTATCTTTTATACTCAAAATAACTACTATGAAGACAGCAATATGCTTTGTACTATTATTGTAACTCTCCTACTAACCTGTCTTGAAACTGTGTTTTGTTGTTATTTTTATTGTTTCCCTTTAAAATAAAATGGTTGGGGCTGGGGAGATGGCTCAGTAGAATAAGCACTCCCCTGGCAAGCGCAAGGGCCTGAGTTCAATCCTGGTTCCACCCAAAAAAAAAAAAAAAAAAAAAAAGGATACATAAGATAAAATGGTTGAATATAGGCTTCTCATATAACCCAGCAATTCTACTCCTAGGATGCGCCCAAGCAAACTGTAGACATGTGTCCACACAAAATCTGTGTGTCAGTCTCAATAGCTCTGTCCCTAATAATATAAGAGATGATGCAATACAGGATTCATCAACACATAAACAAAGTACAGAATATCCATGTAAGAGTATTATTTAACAATGAAAAAAAGGTAAAGCATTGATATGCGCTGTAACATGAGCAACACTTGAAAACATTGATACATGAAAAATCCACTCAGGAAAGATCCCATATTGTTAGCCCATTGATAAGAAAGGACTAGAATAGAGGCAAATCATAGAGACAAAAAGTAAATTAATCTTTGCTTAAAGATAAGGAAGTTGGGCCAGGAAGATAGCTCAGCAGACTAAAGTGCTTGCTTAAGGCAAGCTTAGGCAAAGTGCAGGGACTGCGGTTCAGCACCACATGCAGCACCAGCCCCGCTCGCATGGCAGGCTGACCCAGCCACAGAGTCCAGGCGTAGTGGTACACACCTGTAATCCCAGCACTGGGGAGGCTGAAAACAGAAGGACCACTATGAATCTGAGCTACATAGTAAAGCCCTGTAATGACCAAACACATTAAAAATAAATAAATAAATATTTTTGGGGCCAGGGAGATAGTTCAGTAGAGTAAACACTTGCCTAGCAAGCACAGGGTCCTTAGTTCAATCCCCAGTACCACAAAAAAAACAACAACAACAACCAAAAAAAAAAAATTAATTAATTAATTAATGTTAAGAAAAGATAAGGAGGTTGGAGATGAGAAGTAGTTACTAATGAGTATAGAGGGGTTTTTAATGGAAAAAATGTTTTCAGATTGATTTGGGAGTGGTTTACAACTAAAATACGAATATACTAAAATCTATTAAATTCCACAGTTAAAATGGTTGAATTCTATGTGTTATGGTTTGGTGCCTTCCCAAAGCCTCATGCAGTCATGGGGTGGCTTGGTTTGTAGAGTCTGTGATTAACTCATGATCCACTGGGATTATGCATGTGAGTGCTGCTGGGATTATGGGTGTCAGTGCTACACCAGGCCTGGAGCAGATAGCCTGAATGCAATTTAAGGGAGACAAACTTGATCTCTGCAGCCATTGTTGCTAATCCTCCCTTTTGCTCTTGCTATTTTGCTGTATTACACCACCATGAACTGCTGCCCTCTGCCATGTACCACTCTGATTTGGAACCAGCTTTGTATGGACTGAAATCTCCACAAATCATGACCTAAGTAAGCCTTTCTTTCCTTCATTTTAGGTGTCAGGTATTTGTCCCAGCAAGGAGAGAAGAGTAACTGAGACAGTACAGTATATAAATCATGTCTCTATGAAACCATTATTCTTTCTTGTAAAGGAAGACGGGGAGGTAGAGAAAAGGTAATGGAAAGAGAGACAGGGAACGAGGGAAGACTTTTGATCTCAGATCCAATAATAAAGAGAAAACCAAACCAAACGGAGAGGCAAATGCTGAGGACAGAAACCACATTCCTAACTTTGGTGTGACTTCCAAATATCCTGGCTTAGCTTCCGGCTCCTCCTCTGTAGAATTATCAGTCAGACCCACTGCGTTAGAGTTCCCAAAGGCCTCTGTCTGACATCCCAGCTCCTCTCTGAGGGGCCATACACATGTGAATCAGTCAGTTACCTTCTCTGAGATTCCATTATAAAATTGAGTCAAAACAAGAACCTGCTCATCCCCTTCCCTAAAAAATCTTGCTCCTCAAACTCCTCAAACCTGACTTTTGCAGTTCTGAAGCTCTTCCCCAAAGCAAACTGAGGTCCCTGAAAGTCCAGTGTGGTCTGTCTCACCTTGAATCCCGCGTGTCAGGGATGCTACGGTTGAGGGGCAGCTGGTTACTGAGGTACACGTTGTAACCAAACCTGTGAAACAGGTCCTGGGCCTTTCTCTGCTCAGCCTCAGCAAGACCTTCTCCCCACTGCTGGAACAACGCAGAGGTTGGGAAGAGTTTCTTTGGGGGTCGGGGCTGCTTTGACTTGACCATCTTGCCTTGCAATGCCTTTGGGGCAGGTTGAACTTCATCTTCCACCCTCATTAACGCATCCTTCTCCACTCTTGCTTGTTGCTTCACAGCCAATTTCATATTTTCTTCTGCAAAAGAAGAGGATGAAAGGTGGGAGACAGCAAAGAAAAAATGTTAGACAATCTTAAGGCATCTGAGCAGTACTTTCCCTCCTAATTTCCCTGAAATAATTTTCTTGAAATAGTTTGAATCTTAAGTGTCCCCACAGGCCTGTGTGTTAGCAATTTTGTCACTGGCCCGTGGTGCTACTGGAAGGAGACAGAAGCTCTAGGAGTTGAAGCCTTATGAAAGGAAGTTAGGTCACTGGGACATGTCCTTGTCTCCATCCACCACCATGCAGTCATCTGTGTGCTCCTGCCATGATACATTGCCTTGTCACACGTCCAAAACCAGTGGACAAACTCACCATGCATTGAAACCACCAAAACTGTAAGCCAAACCTATCTTGTCTTTTCATGAGGTAATTCTCTCTCTCTCTCTCTTTTTCTTTTTTTAATCACATATGGCAGGACTGATTTAATCAGCATACAATTGAAAGAGCTTTAGATCTGTAATAAAAATCCAAATTTGGGGAAGGATGAACTTTAAAACAGCAGCCAGGTGGGCAGGGAGGAGGGGGAGGAGGGCAGGTGGACAGGCAGCTGAGCACGAGGTGAGCCTCTTGAGTGTTTGTTACAGCAATGGAAAGGTGACTAAAACATCTTCCAACTTTTAAAATGGGCAAATTCTTGTCCCAGAGGGTAGGATGTCAGAGAAATTTGTCAGGACCATATAATGTTGTCTTGGCAAAGCACACACTAGGTGCCTCTCTCTCTTCAGCTCCCTCAAAATATATCTACCCCTCCTCTCTGTGGCTCCACTAGGAGCTGACTTTGAAGTGAGAAATAAATTGATAATAAGATGTTTATCCAGGATGAGACCTAAAGCACATTTTTAATCAGAATCACCAGCAGTGATTATTTTAAGATTTAGGTATTGATGCTTATTTCCAACTCTTAAATTAGAACCTCAGGGTCCAGTGGGAACATGAGCAAGAAAAGTTGCCAGAATCTGCACTGTTAATGAAGTCAAGGAGTAATTTTTTATAAAGTAAAATTTTGAGAAATCTGGTGCTGCACTAACAGTGGCTAACCAAAGCTGACCTAACCCAACCCACACCCCCATCGTCTGCTCATGGCATTACCCCTCACGTGCTAACGGCATCCGAACTTCTAACTTTTTAAAACTTTTAATTGCTCCAGATAGATCTAACAGTCACATGAGAGACACAACCTTTACTCCAAAGAATAGTGATAGGTCCAGACAGGGGGCTTTCTTGCAGGAGAGGCCTTTATCTATGGTCCAAACTACCAATGGTAATGATGCCTACAAATCTCAAGCTCTTCCTATTCATTATTTACCTCATCTTTACAGCAACCCTGTAGGATTCACTCTGCAGCATCTTAGCAAGTATGGCAAAAACTCTTTTTAAGATCAATCAGCAGGGGCTGGAGAGATGGCTCAGTGGTCTAAAGCACCTACTTGGAACAAGCTTGGCAAAGCACAGGGACCACGGTTCAATCCCCCAGCA